ACTATAAATAGAAAGAAATTAATTGGCCTACTAAAAATATATAGAAAATATTAGCCGGGCATGGTGGCACGTGAATGTAGTCCCAGCTACTCGGGAGGCTGAGGCAGGAGGATTGCTTGAGCCCAGGAGTTTGAGGTTGCTGCGAGCTAGGCTGACGCCACAAGCAGTCACTGTAGTCTGGGCAACAAAGCGAAATTCTGTCTCAAAAAATAAATAAATAAATAAATAGCATACTTAATTTAAAAAAATTCATATGCAATTTTACTTTTACTCTAGGAACATTGATTTCAATTTGATGTAAAACAAAACACATTAAAAAACTCTTGGAAAAATTTCCTGGTAAATCTAAGATTTTTTGGTAAATAAATTCTCATTTTCTTTTATTCATTTGTTTATTCAACAAAAACGTGCTGCATGCCTACAGTAGGCAAAGCACTGTGCTAGATATTGTAGAATGTTAAAGGACAAATCACCATTTCTATGGATAAAAGGTGTGCAGTTAGTAAATAAGAAAATATGTTGGCATAAATAACTATAATAAAGAGTAGGAGGTGTAAAAGGTATTAAAAAAATTAAGACAGAAGGAGGAAAGATTAGTCTGAGGATTAAGGAATAACACCAACGGAAGGTGTTATCCAAAGGTATTAACTGGCCACTTACAAGATAGTTGTTATTTAGAAAAGCACAATGGGGAGAGTGCTATGGACCAAAGGAATAGCCTGAGAAAGGCAAGTGGGCAGGAAAACGAGAGGGCAATGGCTGAAGGTGGTGTTGGAGACTGGGCCAGCAAGTTGGCAATGGAAAGTGAGGCCCTTGAACGCCTGACACTGTGAACAAGAGGGTAAAATGCAGTTGCTCTCTATTCTCTCTTTCTACCTTGAGTTTAGCCCTTGCAGCAATGTAACTTCAATTAAGCCCTCTGTAAGGCTAAAAATGTCTTTTAAAAAGCAACTCTTCTACCGACTTTTCATGGTACCCTTATTATAATTAGAAGAAAGCAACAGGATCCAAAGCTCTTCAAGGCATGGTTTTGGTTTCTTCAGTTCCAAGGAGCTTGTCCAGGGTTATGCTGGGAGAAATAGCTTTTATAGTCCATTTGCCAATCTTCAGTGGCATATCTATCTGAGGTTTGCATTCTCAGCCACAAAACACTCCCTGTGTGAACAGAGACTGCTGTAAGGGGAGCCCATCGGGAATCATTGGACAGAGAAAGGCAGGCGACATGTACAAACAGAGTTAGTTCGGGAATGACAGCTGAATGACTGGGCGAGTCTGTTTTTTTTGAGTTGACAGCCTCTCCCTAACTCTTTCATTAAACACCCAACTAACCTTCAATTGCCCTCTTAGAACTTAATCTCAGTGCAATTCCCAGCATTTCACAATAATCAAAGGAAGGAGGAACTACCCTGCAAGGGGGGAGGGTCTTTTGCTCAGTGTTAGGAGGCTAACCCCAACTACAGAATCCTACAAATGCCCTAATGTGGGAGGTAAGAGAGATTTATAAATCACTAACTCTATTAGGTTGTGCAACTAATAATAAATTCATAACAAGCTGGCATGCAGCTTCAAAAATAAAAGCCCCTCTGAAACTTCAGGGAACTTAGAATCTTGGCAGAAAGAATGTTTCTGATGGTGTAAGCCTTGATCTGCCAGGGAAACATAATTTCAGGGTCTCAAGAAGCTGGTTTCTGTAAAAACTCCATTCATCAATCAAATCTCTGTCATTTTTCTCTGATTTTCCCCCTGTTGCAAATGCATTAGTATAGGAACCTTTTTTACCCATCTTGTGTCCCATTTCTCAACGTGTTGCCCTCAAACTACCTGTATCAGCTGAACATTCCTGGGCCTCATCCCACACCTGGCAAATGATGTTTTCTAGAGACACGGTCCAGGAATTTCATAAAAAAGAAACTCTTTGTGACTGTGATCACGAATTACATCTACCTACATTTCTTCTTATGTTGTTCTTTCAACTCTTACTTCCTATACAACCTAACCATGGAAAGATAGAATTGATGCTGAGTGTAGATATTCTTTGTCACAGGCCCTCGCCAGAGAATATGTTATCCAGAGTCAAAACATAATCGATGCCTTTACCAACAATTGCAAACGGCCAGAATCAATTGTGGTGGAATTTACTCAGAGGATAATTACAAACCAAACTTCTTTAATACTCAACTGTTACTTCTTTCTTCCTTTTAAAATCTATCACTTTTTTTTTTTCAAAAGAAAAAAGAAATAAATCAATCACTCTTACTCCCGTTCCTTTTGTTTGACTCTCTTTTCTTTTTTGGACTCTATTGGTGCTCCACGCCCACAATGGAATACTGACTTGTGGGTGACAAGAAGAGAAATGATAATAACAATGTCCCTCTTGCAAAAACATGTCTTCCAAAATAGTTTTGTTTCTAACATGTAAACCCCATACCACCTCAGCCCATTTAGATTTCCCTCATTTAAGTACAAATAAAGACATAATTTGGATACCTAGCAATTTCTCTAAATTTTTCTAAATGTTGTAGTTGATTTTAACTTTAATGTGTCAACAGAAAAAAAGCCAAACTCTGTAAAATAATTTTAAAGAGATTTATTCTGAGCCAAATTTGAGGACCACGGCCCGGAGCCACTCCCAAGAGGCCTTGGGCAAGTGGACTCGGTGTGACTGGGTTACAGTTTGGTTTTTATACATTTCAGGGAGACAGGGGTTACAGGTAAAGTCATAAATTAATGTGTGGGAGGCATACATCGGTTTGGCCCAAAAAGGTAGGACATCTCGAGGTGGCGGGCTTACAGGTTATAGGTGGGTTTAAAGATTCTTTGGATTGTAATTGGTTAAAGACATGAAGGAAGCTTTGTCTAAAGGCTGGGAATGTTTTAACATAAGGAGCTATAATCAGAGATAAGCCACTGGACATAGATTTGTTATATGAATTGAGGACCTGCAGGATTGTCTTGCACACCCTTAGGCCTATTAATGGGTTACAAAGAATGTCACCAAGAAGGGAGGGGGGCATGATGAGGCATGTCTGACCTCCCTCCTCCTGGCAGACAATTTAGTTTTAGAATATTTCTTTGGCCATGAGGGGGTCCATTCAGTCAGCTGGTGGGGAGTGAGCCTTAAAATTTTATTTTAGTTCACAAATGCTATTACCAAAAATATATCTTTATAAGTTTTATACTTTATCTTTAGACCAATTAACTGTTTGATAACTGCTATGTGTTCTGCACGAGAAATTGAAGTGAAATGTACATCACATTTAACAGGCAAGGCTGTGTAATTGAGAGAGAAGAGACAGACCCTACAGATAGAAGACCTGGGTTTAGGTTCCAGTTTACTATTATCTGCATGATGCTAGTGAAACTCATGTAATGCCTGAGTCACAGTATCCTCTTTCGGTGGAATAAGAATCAAAATAATTCTTATTTTACAGAGTTATTGTAAGGGTTAAAGGAAATAATGACTATTTTGGTTCCTAATGAAGTATTTATGAATTCCTAGTAGTGATAAGGAAATCACAACTTATCCTTTGATCCCTGAAACAACCTTCTCTTTATTTTTATTTTTTGTCTTTGACAAAATGAGAGTTGGTTTTCCTGCCCTCTATTTAAGGATTTAGGATATTTTGTTTGTACATTTGACTCACCTTCTGTACAATGTGAATGGCAGTGCCCACATTCAGATGATACTGTTTTCAAGCAGGTACTAGGGGATACCGCAAACCAAACACTAGGTGTGGTAAACCACAGCATCGCAGGTGATTGAAACCGTGCATTCGGCCCCAGAGCAGTAACTTCCCTTCTCCTTCTTTGATGATAAGACCTGCAGCGCCAGGAAAGGGGCCAGAGAGCCACCACCGGCAATCAACTACCAAAAGATACCCAGCATTTTTATGTGTTTAATCTTTATAGAATTGTGAGTGGCAGATCAATATCCTTGTTTCACAGGTTAAGAAACTGAAGCTCAAATTGAGTCAGTAACTTTGCTGAGGTTTCGCAGTTAATGAGTAGTAGGATGGGCTCAAACCCGGGACTGACCCATGGTTCTCTCTGTCACCTCTCAAAGCCTCCTCCTTCCTGCTTCTCCTTCTGTGGAGTTTTAGGAAGACATCTGCTACTTCCGATAACTACATCAGCACATTAGAATTACTTGGGTAATCTGAGTGCTTAGGTCCCTTCCAGACTAATTGAAACCAAAATTCTGGGAGAAGGGCCCCAGCATCTATAATTAAAAAAAAAAAAACAAAAAACTTGAAAATGATTCTGTTGCACTTTGAAGATAGAGAACCACTGATTTAACACATTGACTGCCACACTAGAAAAAAATATTTTTTTCCTTGGGGTCATGGTGTTTTATTATGAAAATGGAATAAAAACTTCAAAACCAAAATGATCCTTTCTAATTTAATGGAACATCTGTTACTTTTTTATTGTCTTCTGTGTTCTTTTTAAAAAAGAATATAAAAACTTGGAAATTAGTAATGTAAAAGGTAATATGAAAGCTTGAAAAATAGTTCATAAGGGGAAAATATTTTTCTTGACTTGTCAGGCTTAACTGTAATTTAAAGGTAATCATAAATAGAAGAGCAAAATGTATTGACTTCTATTTATTTAATCCATGTTTTTAGAATTAAGTTGTCAATATTAATGGTAACAATAAGAACATCAGGAAGTAAGACTTTCACCAACCAACTGCAGGGTTTTTCCCAGAGGGCCACCCACCAGGTAACATGTATATGCTACAGCGTGGTAGCATGAGTTGCCTGCACACCACATGGCTTCCAAGGCAAAGAGACATGTGAGCTATGAATACACATGCTTCATGAGGCCCAGGTTCAAAACTAGCATGAGTTAAATACAACTCACATGGCAGTTAATTTATTAAATAATGATATTACTTCTGTGAAAAAAAATTTCTATTGTTTTAACATTTAATAAAGGATATAGTATTATTGTAAAATATCTTATTAACACATACCTTCTCTTTCTTGTTGCAATAACAGGTGGATGAGATATTTATAGATTCGGCCTTGAACAAGCACTATATCAAGAACCGAGTAGTCAGACTGACGTATGTATGTTTGGGCAAAGATGGAGTCATAAGCCTGGAGGGACAAAGGACAAAGGAGACGGGGACCCTCATATATTATGTGTTTAAACAGCCTAGGCTCTTGGCTAGGATTTTTCACAAACATTATCTCTACAACAGTTTCGAGATACAGGGCTGACCACATTTTCTACACGAAAAAACTAAGATTTAGAGATGATTAAGTGACATGTTCAAAGTTCTCCAAGTGACAGAACCAGGATTTAAACCCCATCAATTGATTGTTAAGGCCTGGAACCTTCCAGAGCCCATGACCTTGGGAAAACCCAGCAGCCTGTCATTGCGTGTGCTAGGTGATATTCTTTTGACAGATACATCACTTCAAACATATTAAGAAGGCAAAGTTGACCACAAAATGGAATCACAAGTTTTACCTGTAGTAAAGCCCGACTGACAGGAGGCATGCCAAAACAAAAAGATACTCCTCTTGTAATAAATTTTCTTTTTGTTGTGGTGGAGGGGAAGACTGATTTCAGTTGTGAAAATTGCTCAGAGTTTTCATTTATGTTATTTTGAAAATCACATAGAAGAACATACATTCAGAGGCACAAGTCCGTGAGACTTACAGACTCATCTTCTTAAAGATAAGGAATATATTCAGACTTGGATTTATTTGAAAGAAATGATAATTATTTTTCTTACCAATAGACTAATGCCCTGTTGGCAGATTTACTCCAAGATTTTCACTTCTTTGCTGAGTAACTAGTGACTTCCATAAGGATTTTATAATATGAATTAGATAATTTCTATAATATTTAGGAAGTAAAGAGCATATAAATGCTGGAATTTTCTAGATTTTCAAATTCTGGTTTACCATAGCATTCTGGTAACATTATCATAGTCTTACAACCTCATTTGGATGATAGCCATTTTCACTATGTAAGTTTTGTGTGGGTCCAGAGAAATCCTACCTAGTAAAAAAAGTCAAGTCCTCTGATTTAAGAGGGAAAACTATTTGGTCATCTGTTTACCAATTTTACATAAAATTATGACTATTTACATCTTTATATTTCAGAAGCTACATGGACTACTGTACATAAAATGTCTACGAATTGATATAATTTCCTCCTTTTTAGCTAAAAGATTCAGGAAAATGGGCCCCTAGTATTTTTAGAGCTTTTATTTTTTGTGATGTAAAAATAAAAGACAGGGAAGATCAATATGCATTGGTTTCAATTTTTAAAAAGACCTGTAATTGTGTGATTTTCCTATTTTAAGAGTACATAAAAATTCAGTTCCACAGGTAAAGGAACTTGAACCTGTTTATATGAAAATCGTTCAAGGAACTTTTCATGTTTAATCTGGAGAAGAGTCACAGACCACAATATTGCTGTCTTCAAATATTTGAGGTAGAAGAGGAAATTTTTATGTATGTTTCACCTGGTAGACCTAAGACTTATGGAATGGAAAATATAGGTAGACATATTTCAACTCAAAATGAAGAATTCTCAAAATCAAAACTGACAAAAGAGAAACAAGCCTCTTCAGGGAATTAAATTTCCCATCATTTTAATTACTGCACTGGGGTTAGAGGACCACTTGTGTGGATGCCGTAGAGGTGATTGATTTGGCCCAGGAGAACACAAAGTTTCTTCTCACCTTCAGAGTTTATGATTTTGATGATGACTTTTTTTTTTTTTTTTGTCTGAGTCATACCTAACTGCTGTAACCAGCCTTCACATGAATAGGGAAAATGCACTCAAAACATAATGAGAGCTAGAAGAGGGAACGCATAAAATGACGTTGGGTCAGAGTGACATGGAGAAGAGTGTGGATGTGAGAGGATTAACACTGGACACTCAGCAGTCGAGGTGTAATTCATGGAGAGAACACATGAGAAAGACCACATGGGACAACACCAGACGTATTCTTTGAATATGCGTCTTTCTCTTGTTTCACAGTCCAGAGGAAGACGGTATGAAAGCTGATGTCATTATGGTGTTCCAGTTCCCCTCTACTGAGCAAAGGGTAGTAAAAGAGAAGAAAATCTATAGCATCTTAAATCAGAAGATAAGGAATACAAGAGCCTTGCCAATAAATGCCTCATCAGTTCAAGTTAATGGTAAGCAGGTATCTTTCTATGTGATATGGATTGAGTCCATGTTTTGTCTAATTTTCATTCCAAAAAGTAGCTAGGATTTAGAAGGAAAAAGTTTCAAGTTAAAGAAGTGACATTTCCAGATTTTACTATTCTCTGATAAAAGCGTGTCTGAAGATAGTCATCAAGTGGTTTTCCCGGTAGTCATCGATTGGCACACATCCCAAAATTAAGGCAAACCTTTACCAGATTAACCAAGAGTTAATCTGACCCAGCTATTGCCTCCATGACTAAGCAAGTGAAAAATACCAAGGGTTTAGCAACAATGGTATTTCTGGGTGGGACCTTCCTAAGCCGCAAACTCATTTGTTGCCTTTAAAAAGTATGGGTAGTTTCTATATATGGTGATGTCATGAAGTTTTTGTTAGCTTTTTTCCTATGGACATTTGGAAAAATGGTAAGCCAACTCTGAAGCCACTAAAGCCATCTTATAAATAATGCTTTAAAAATCACTGAACTAGAAGAAAATCACCGAAACCATTTATACATCGTTCTACTTTTTTATATACATCCTTAGCTCATTATACCATTATCATTTCTCTAAACTAAGAAGAACCAACCTTTATCAAGGCCCGCATCCATGGCCTTTACATGAAGTAACTTATTTAACTTCTATATTCTAATGAATTAGGAAAATTCACCTTTATAGAAGTGAAAGTTGAGCAAAGAGAGTTAAGAAGTCCAATAATTAAAAGGAGGTAAGATTTAAACTTAGATCTCTAATTTTTTTTTCTATTTCAATAGATTTAGGGAGTACAAGTACAGTTTTGTTACATGGTATATCATAAAGCAGTTAATAATAGTGCACTGATCACCTGAACAGTGTGCATTGCACCCAATTGGTAACTTTTTATCCCTCACCCCTCTCTCACCCTCCCACCTTTGGATTCTTCAATGTCTGTTATTCCATTCTGTATGACCATGTGTACCCATAGTTTAGCTCCCACTTGTAAGTGAAAACAGGAGGTATTTGATTTTCTATTCCTAATTTACTTCACTTAGGATAATGGCCTCCAGTTCCATCCAGCATCAAAGATATTTTTTTCATTATTTTTTTATGAGCTGAGTAGTAACCCATGGTGTGTGTGTGTGTGATATATATCTCACATTTTCTTTATCCACTCATCAGTTGATGGACACTTAGGTTGATTCCATATCTTACTACTGTCAATTGTGCTGTGATAAACATAAGAGTGCAGGAACTGCTTTTTGATATAATGACTTCTTTTCTTTTAGATTAAATAATCCCAGTAGTGGGATTGCTGGATAGAATGATAGATTTACTTTTAGTTCTTTGAGAAATCTCCATACTGTTTTCCATAGAGGTTGTACTAATTTACATTCCCACGAACAGTGGGAATGTGTCAGCATTTGCTTTCACCACATCCATGCCAACATCTATTGTTTATGTACTTTTTAATAATGCTCACTCTGTCTGCAGTAAGGTGGTACTCACTATAGTTTTTTTTTAATTTTTAATTTTTATTTTATTGTATTGTATTTCAGAGTATTATGGGGGTACAAATGTTTTGGTTACATAAATTGCTTTGCACAATTTGAATCAAAGTTGTAAGTGTGCCCATCAGCTAGATAGTGTGTACTGTACCCATTAGGTGTGAATTTACTCATCCCCCCCATACCTGCTTGATTTCTGATGAGTTTTATTTCCATAAGTGTTGTTTGGTTAGTTCCAATTTGATGGTGAGTACGTGTGGTGTTTGTTTTCCCATTATTGTTATGCTTCACCTAGTAGAATGTTCTCCAGTTCCATCCAGGTTAATACAAGAGGTATTGGGTCACCATTTTATATGGCTGAGTAATACACCATGGTATACATATACATTTTATTAATCCACTCATGTATTGATGGGCACTTGGGTTGTTTCTACATCTTTGTAATCGTGAATTATTCTGTATAAACAATTGGGTATAGGTGTCTTTTTAATAACATGTTCATTTTTCCCTTGGGTAAATACCCACTGGTGAGACTGCTGCAGCAAATGGTTTGTTTTCCTAGTTCCTTGAGGCATGATATTAAATTGTTAATTTTTTATCTTTCTGTATTTTTGATGTAGGCATTTAGCACTATAAACTTTTCTCTTCACAGTGCTTTTCTGTATCCCTGAGGTTTTAATAAGTTGCGCCATTGTTATTATTGACTGTGGAAAAAAATTTAATTTACATCTTGATTTCATCATTGAACCAAAGATCATTAAGGAAACAGGTTGTTTAATTTCTAGGCATTCATATAGTTGTGAGAATTCCTCTTAGAATTAATGTCTAGTTTTATTCTGCAGTGGTCTAAGAAGATACATGATACGATTTTGATTTTTTAAAATTTACTGAGACTTGTTTTGTGACATAACCTGTGTTCTGTCTTGGAAAATGTACTATGTGCTGATGAAAAGAATATATATTCTGCAGTTGTTGGGTAGACATTCTGTAAATGTCTGTTAGGTCCACTTATTCTAGCATCCAGTTTAAGTCTAGCGGTCTCGTGTTTCTTTGTTGATTTCCTGCCTTATTGGTCTATCTAGTTATGTCAGCGGAGGGACAGGGCCAGCCGCAGCAGAAGCAAATGAGTGTGTGCTTGGTCTCAGTTTGCTCAGACGGTTAGGTGATCTTCGGAATTCCTGATGTCCTCCATTCCCTGCTCAGCCCTGGTACAAAACTGGGCACAGCTAGCCTGTCAAACTTGACCTCATTCATTCCAGTGATAAGCAAAAGTCCCAGCCCTAAGGAGGGTGGCAGAGGGAGCTTGTGATGAATTGTGTTGAGGTCTCCTAGGAGTGGGAGTGAGAAGGGTAGGGACGGAGGAGACTGAACCAGCTCCCTGGCCTAGGTAGGTAGGGACACAATTCACCTCCTTATCACACCACTGTCATGGGGCTCATGACTTTCAGTTCAGATAGACACTGTCATTTTCCTCCAGGGCTAATGTAGCTGAGGGCCACAGGAAATGCCTGTCCTGTAGCTCTCCACCCAGATGGCCTCGGGGCAAAACTTCTCTCCGTGTAAAGCAGAAAGCTGTGTAGCTTGCCTGTTCTCCGCTGCAGGAAGCTGCATCTCCTTAAAGGAAGAGGCTAGGGCACTTCCTTCTATGCAAGTCTGTCACTGGAGCTGCAGCGATTCCTGAGTGCCCTGGAATGACTGTCCCCTGGTCACCTGTGCCAGTGACCTGCAGGAACAGCCGCAGCTACGTTGGCTGCAGAGTGTCATACTGAGGAGGAGAAATCCCTGACTGGAGGAGAGCATGCACTCTGGTCTCCCTTGTCCCATCGATCTCTAATTCTTTGAGAGACTCCCTGAAAAAGGGTTCTGTGGTCAAACGCATTTTAGAAATTCCATCTGTGATGTTCATCTCTTGGAAATTAATTCCTTATATTACCTTATTCAATATTGGGATGAGTTGGGCTAGACAGAAACTTGTTTACCCTCATACACTAAGCTGCTTCCCCAGCCTCTACTTCCGGCAGGCAAGTGCAGATTTCCCCTATACATGCGATGGACACCTCACTTTCGAGAGTCACAGAAGAGAGGGATTGGTAGGGATTGTTATCAGACATGAAACAGGATGCCCTGCCTTCGTAACAAGATCAGGAAGTGAAAATCTGAGGTAATCGAATGGGCAGGAATTTGCTGGTGTGACAAAGAGCTGCTCAGGGAATAAACCTGAGGACCTCTCCCAAGTGGGAGGGAAGAAACTGTCAAGTGCTTAATCCACCTTCTTTGTTAGATGGGGAAGCAAATGAATTGAGGTTGTGCAAGAGTAGCCATTCTGATCAGTGAAATGATATGTTCTGTGTAATTTCCAATAACCAGTTAATTTGCCAGAAGTGTAAAAGCCTGGGCTATCTGACACCAGAAATGAAGCATGAAATGTTCATTGGCTGCCTGGCCTTTTTGTTCCTTACAGACTGAGCTTGTGAACTTTAGCTTATTTTCATGGCTATCCTAGATTCAAAAGCAGGATGTGCTGATGGAGAACCTGATTTGAGAGTTATCTAATTCTAACTACAATGAGTCACTGCAAGATCAAATAATTGGCCCATGCATTTCCCTCCATTTTCTCACCTGTGAAATTACAGTAATAATGTTTGTTCTTCCCGAAATCACAGAAATATTATAATATACAAGAAAATAGAAAACATAATGGGGAGCAACGAGGCTATTACTACTGAGAAAGCTATTAAATTATGCATGTGCTTTGGAAACTTGAAAGCAATAATATGACTGATTGACTGATAGTATAAAGAGGCAGATCCTAGAAGGTTTCAGAATTTTCAAAGCTAAAAAAGCAGTGTTTACTAACACTTAGGAAAAGTCCATTTAGTGGAAATCTCAGTAGGATCCTTAAGGCAATTCTTATAGGCAAAAACATTGCTCTCCAGAAACACTTAATTTGGGGACTTCCAAGAAATAGAAAATGGCTGAGATTCTAGATCAAGTCTAGAAATAACCCTGTAGCCCAAGATTCATTCATAATTTGTCAAGATTCTGTATATGGTTTTGACAAATACCTGTGTGACATGGGTCCTCCACGAGATGCAATGTGTGCTCCGTGTGCCATCATGATGCTTGCAGCCTGGAAAGCCCTCAGCACTAACCAGATTTCTCCCAGCTCAGAAGTGTGTTAGGGAGTGGTGGCTTTCAAGACTAAAGTGTTAATGTTTCTTTTCACTTCCGTATACCTGGAAAGTAAAACTATTTGGCCAAAATTGGAAATCTTCAACAGTTACTTCTGTATTGACAGTTTACCTCCAGATATGATTATTGCCCCTAAACATTCTATCCTTAAAAACCCAATTACACTCACAGCCATTACACTTAACTCTGATACCATTCTTGGAAATGGGTGACTTGCATCTTTCCCAGACTAAGTTGACAGTGTTTTAACCGAAGAATTCTAAGCATACCATTTTCTACTTTAATACATATCTAAGGACAAATAAATTAAATAGGTTTTTTAAAAAATGAAACAAGTAATTTAGTACCATAGACTACATTTGACAGAAAATTGAGTTCCTTCTGTAGATTAAGCACTAGAGAATCTGTCCTGAGCAATTGATTCTTCACCATACAGTGATTTGGAGATGCTTTTAAGAGTATCCTTGAATTGGATATTTTCAAAAGCTCCCATTTTGCAGAGTTCTTCATCACTAGTTTCCCTTGTGGGATTTATAGAAAGTTAGTAGAATGAAGCATTCTTATTTGGCACAGTGGGGAATAGGATGCCAAGAATATGAGTCTGAGAAACATGGCACTGATAGAAGAGAGTGAAATAGTTTATTTTCATCTGCTCAATAAGCCATTTAACTTGAAAATCATCATAGTTTTCATGCAACCTTCCACTAACTTAAGTTTATTTTCCCCCCAGCTTTACTAAGGTATAATTGACAAATAAAAATTGTCTACATTTATGGTGTACAACATGATGTTTTGATATATGTATATGACTTTAAATGTTTGTATTTCCTTAGTTAGATTTCTAACTTTGTTGGAAATTGACAAAATTTAATCTTAGATTGTGACTAATAATTATCCTTTACCAATATTCAGCAGATGTTGGAAGAGAATACACAATAATTTGTTCATCAAAAAGGAGCATTTTGATCATTTAGGAACTGTGTTCCAAAAGTATTTAAAATATAGTTTGTGTGGGAGTTTTCAAAGTTTTTTCATTCTAAACTCTTTGACCAACAAAAGCCTTATGTGAATTTTAAAGTAAACAAAAGAAATCCAGACAGACCTGTTCTGGTTGAGGCTGGGTTTGAGGATTGGAGACCCATCCACTTGCTTCCTCTTTCCCATCTCCTGAAGTAGAATCCAAAGATTTACCTTGCACAGCTGGAAAACCATGGTTCTGTATTAATACAAACTATTTATGGACTTTAATCATCCACTATTTATGCTTATACTTGAGATATTATCCACCTAATTAGAGGTTGCCTATAAATCTCTACAAAAACTGTACACATACGTGCTATATCACATAGCCATCATCCTGACCAATCTATATGTTTATCTAGAATCCATCTGTGGCCAGTATCTTCTGATAATTCCTGGTCATTGAGACCAACCAGGAGACTATCAAATTATCAATCTTTTTTTTTTATTTTGTTTTTCAGCAATGAGCTCATCAACAGGGAAACTAACTGTCCAAGCATGTAAGTCCAGTTAGTTTGTATAAACAAGTTCAATTTCTACATCAGAAAGGACATCTTCAAATATTAATGCATAATTTCCCATCTCTGTTCCACATTTTCTTTGGGAATAATAATTGGACAAGAGATTTAAATGCTTTTTTCCTAACTCCAAAACTGATCTTTCAGTCATGTTCAAGAAAAACATTTACATGGTGAAAATCCTGAGGTAATTTGATAAAATATATATATATTATATATATATATTATATATATTTTTTTCTGGTTTGGAATAAGTGGACTTGCTTTTACAATTTTTTAAGATTCTATTAAATGTGCTTTCTGCTGAGAAATAAAATAATGAGAAAATGATACATGAGGAGATAAATCCCATTATCTGTGACTGACCTACAAAATATGCTCAATATATTCATCTTTATAGCTAACAGTGGCTTTACTAAATCACTTCAAATCACTGTGGCCTATAATTTGAAAGATTTTATAAAAGTGATGATGAATTTGAGCAGTGGGGTTTATGCACTTGCCTCTGTGTCTTGTAAACACCCTAAATATTTTTTATTCCTTCATTCAACTAATATCTTTTAACATCTACCAACTACCATTAAGTGTGCCAGGAGCTGGTGGTACCATTGTGAATAATACATGATCCCTGCCCTAAAATTAGCATTTGAAGGTGGGAGAAGATATAAACAAATCAGGAAATATGAAAATAGTAGGATAAATGCTGACGGAGAAAGTGCACAGTGCCACGAGAGTTGGTCAGAGGGTCAGCTCACCTGGTCTCGTAGAGTCAGAGAGTGACCCCTGAAACAGGATAAAAGAGAAGCTATGAATCAAGTGACAGGTGGGGTGAGTGTCCCCGGCAGGGTGAGTGGTGTGTAAAAAATGTCTTCAGGCAAGATAGAATGTAGTTGTTTCTTGTAATTAAAAATATCAGCATGGCTGGAACATAGAATGGGCCCTGAAGGGTAATGAGAAAGTGATGTGATTGATGGTAACCAAGGACCAGAACCACTCTGGGCAACGAAGAGTCACTGAAGGGTTCACACACTTCAGCACAATCACTCAGGTTGCAGGGGCAAGACTGGAGGCAGAGAGATGAATGGGGAAGGTGTGCAGACCTGCAGATGAGAAGAAATGGTAGTCTAAACTAGAGTGATGACAGAGTGATGGAGATTTCTAAAACAGCTGGCTACAGTTGGAGTATAATTAATGCCAATAAAATAAATTTTCTTTTTTGGTGCCTAGTTAATTGGACCAAGAATTAACCCTATCATATTTTCTTTATTAGCCCTATGCTCCAAATAAGCCTAATTCTTAGCAAGAAGCTTAAGTAGCAAAGTCATCTCTGATCTGATCCCCATGATAGAGTACATGTTTACTGCTGACAATATTGACTGTGATGTTTGGGTGGAAACATGGAACCCTCCATCCTGAAGAGTGAGAGACTGGTCATGATACATTAACCCATGCACACCATAGAGCTAGTGACTCCACAAAATAAATGGCAAAGGGGATTCCAACAAATGAGCAATCAATTGTCTGCCCAGTGGGAGTTGCTATTTTGGTGAGGACTTCATGTCAAGGTATCACTGCTGGGTCACCTAAAACTGGGAAACTGTAATCTTAGTAGGAGCTCCCGGGATATCTGGATATTTGACAGTGCAAGTCCTCGGGGCATATTTGACATTTTGTGGTGTGTCAATCCTTCGCAGCTTATCATAGCTTCAGTAGGCAACATATATCCACATGTACAAGGGTAGGGAGGAAGCAAAACATCAACACATTGGGAACTATGAGAATGGATAGTGATGCAGTATAATACATGCTTATATAATGATGGGTGCTCATATTGCATTGCAGTGCCCAATTAGGCTCTCTGTATCAAAGATTAGAGAGACAGTTCTCCTTCTTCCCAACAGATTTAGGGATATGAGTGGTTTTTGGTTACATGGATGAGTTGTATGATGGTGAAGTCTGGGCTTGTAGTGCACTCATCACCTAAACAGTGTACATTGTACCCAACAGATAATTTTTCTTCCTTCACTCCCCTCATACTCTCCCCTCTTCTGAGGGGGAGATAGTCTTAAACTTAATGATCTCATCTTTTTCAGGTTGTGGCAAACGAGTTGTTCCATTAATAGTCAACAGAATAATGTCTGGAGACGTTGCAGCCAAGGCTGCCTGGCCTTGGCAAGCTTCCCTTCAGCGAAACAACATCCACCAGTGTGGGGCCACCTTGATCAGCAACACGTGGCTTGTCACCGCAGCGCACTGCTTCAAGAAGTAAGTTATTGATCTTAAGTCAGACCCCATTGCTGCCAAAAAGCCCTGAGTTTTGTCATATTCTTGGTAACTATCAATGTCCCAAACATTACCGAAGTAAAATAAGAAAAAAGTTCTTTTAGGTTCTTTACTAAAATAATGTTACACTTGCATATGTATTTGAAAGTCTTGGTGAAGACAAAAAAATAGTCATTTTTCTCCTCATATTCATCAATCAAGTCCTCAGAGTATGAAATAAAGAAACTGTAAGAAAGCAGAAGTCATCCTAACACGAAATGTTTACTAATAACATATTAAATTAATCCTTTGTCAAACAATGCTCTCCACTTAATACTGGTGTCTGTCTCTGCCAAACACTTGGGCCAGTCTCATGCTAATTGTAAATAATCAAAGTAATTACAAAGTGAAATGAAAATATTCAATGGATGCAGGAAGTTAGTAACTGTGATGATGGGGAATTGCCCAAATCAAATTTAGAGTATTGACTTGTGAAGTTCTGGTAGAATTTGAACAGTTTATAACCCAAATGAGAAATTACCAGTATGAGAACAGCCACTTCAAAAGAGATTTCTTAGAGTATCAAAGGATTAAAAGAGGCTCTTGGACTATACAATAAGACCTTTATAAAACAAAGCACTTCTTTACAATAGTGCTACAAAAGACAAACCCAGGAGTGAAGAATAGCCTATTGTGCTATCATATATTTTTTTCAAGTGAACAATTAACGATTAATTCCTCATTCATTGTGAGCATTTTTGTACATAACTTTGAATACACAATAAAATGATTTTTTCATAATTTTTAGTTTTACTTTTCAAGATAATAACTAGTCAGATCTTTTTATCACTATGACATTTAAAATTTTGGATTTCTTTCTAAGTACATTAACTTTATGGCTTTTCTAGAGTACCAATTATTATGGTGATAACAAAAGCTTCCTGAGTATCTCTGTAAAAGAAGTGTCAGCAGGAATTAGTGGACAAAATATGCCCTGGCCAGCAGGACGGCTGAGTCAGAGATATCTGTGACCTTGGGCAAGTTATTGAACCTTATTATTTTGGGAAATAGAGTAGATCATCTCATGTTCATTTAGACCTATAAAATTATGACTTTTGTTACCACGATAAATTCCATCCACCTAAAAGTATAAATATATGTAGAGACCCTCAAGGTTTTATAGAATATATAAAAATCTATGTAGATTCTTAATGTCCAAAAGACATGAGAGTTCAATAGACTGATATAGTAGAAAGCCAGAAATCCCTTACGTAGGTGCCTACTAGTTTTAGAGTAAATACTTCAAAGTAATGGGGAACTTACTTTGCCAAAGATAGCCAGTCTTGTGGTAGATAGTTCTATTTTTGCAAATATCTTTATAACATTGAACAACAAATCTGCATTCTAATAACTTCCACCACTGATACTCATCGTTTCATCTGAACAACAGAGACCAAATTTATTTCTTCATTAATATAATATTTGTTCCTTAGTTTCTGTTTTTCAGGCCAAACATAAAATGAGTGAAAATCTCCAAACTATAAGTGAAAATAAACATCATTATTTTCACAGGACCAAATTTCATATGCCCTACCATATTGGTTCTCTCCTTTGAATGCTCTAGATTTTGTCAGTCTCTTCCTTAAAATATGTTTCTAAGAACTAAACACAACAAGATAGGTCATACATGACAAAGTAAAATAGAAAAGGCTCTGGAAAAGATAAATAATATAATTGAATGCAAAGGTGACAGGCAGTTTAGTAACCAAAGAAGACTATCACAAAACGTGATGATTAAGAATGTCTGTTGAAATACTGAGGGCATTTTTATGGCCTGCCGAAGATATCTAACCTTCACTATGTTCTGAACAGTATATTTTCCAGACTTGGCAGATGATATGGAAGTTACGCTCATCAAATTAGCCGATGACATAAGACTAATAGAGAAATGAATGTGTTGGGAAAAAAAAAAAAAAATAAATTTAAAAAGAACTTAACCTAAAAGAAAGAACAAAAAACAAAAGAATAAATTTAACAAGGAAAAAAGGAAAGCCCCAAACTGGAACAAAAAAAAAATCCAACTATATCAGTATAGAAAGCAGAAATGTGCGTTAACACATGAAGACTGGTTAGAAATTTTGGGCCAAAGATTAGCTCACTTTGAGTGAGTTGTCCCTAAAGTTATATTGTAATTTAGATTGCATTAAAAGAAATGTAGAGTCCAGAATAAATGAAATGTTAGACTCTTTGTTGGTCAGATCTTGCCTGGGATAGTGAATGCTGTTCTGAATGCCATGCTTGAAAAGAACTTGACAAATGGTCCAATGACCAGCAGCATTCACATCACTAGGGAATTTGTTAGAAATGCAAGAAAAAAATATATATATATACATATATATATAGAGAGAGACAGAGTTTTACTCTGTTGCTCAGGATGGAGTGCAGTGGCCTGATCATAGCTCACAGCAACCTCAAACTCCAAGGCCCAAGTGATCTTCCCACCTCAGCCTTCCAAGTACCTGGGGCTACAGGTGCGTGCCTCCATGCACAGCTAATTTAAAAATTGTTTTGTAGAGACAGAGTCTCGCTGTGTTGCCCAGGCTGACTGTAGCTCACTGTAACCTCTAACTCCTGGCCTCAAATGATCCTCCCACCTGAGTCTCTCAAAGTTCTAGGATTACAAGCATGGGCCACCTTGCCAGGACAGAAATGCAAGAATATAAAGTCTTACCCCAGACCTACAGAATCAGGAGTTGCATTTTAATAAAATGCCCTGACACTTTATATACATGCTGAAGTTTAAGAAACACTACCCTAGGACACAAAAATTGTATTACCCTGAGAAAGCTGTGGCAGAGACAAACACTGTAGTCATCTGTCTGAAGTCCTCTCATGTGGAAGAGAATTAGAGAATCAAGGAAAACCTCATCAACAGGCAGAGCTGATGAAAGGGATTTCAAGGTAAAGAAAGGGATTGTAAGGCAAAGACGATGCCCCCATCTGCAGGAGTTTTCAAGCATGGACAATCACCACTTGGGAGTGTTTTTGTAACAGCTATCACCAATTGTTAAGCTCCACCATGCTACAAACATTTGGTTAGGTGATTAGGATTTGTCTAGCATAATTCTTACATCCACCCTGCTTGGCAAACCCTTCTTAGTGAACTCTCTTTTACTGAGCTGGATAAGAAAAGTTAAGAAATTTGCTTAAGGTTACAATGTTAGCAGGTGGTGGAGTTGAAAATAAGCATGTGTCTTCTTCCTGCTGAATCCCATCATCTTACTCTTGATTTAGCATCTCTCACGTCAGGTATTTCGTTCAGGTGTGTCATCTGTCAATGTAATAAACACAAGCTGTACTAAATAATATCAAGCTATTGGTGTTTGAAAGTTCTAGAATGATTGTTTCCACTTGTGTTAACACAGTTCAGGTGTGTGCTTTACATTTACAAATTCAAAAAACATGATTTATGTTAAGTTCATCTAGGCATAATTAAGGGAACAGCTTTGTACCACTAAAACTTACAAAAGACTGATTTATAAACCAAAAAAGGCAATGTAGGCGTGCTCTGAACAGTTGTGTTCACAAACCAATCTTTATTTAGTCTTTCTCAGAGTATTTTTTTGCATATCAAAATGGTGTATGAAAACAAATTTTTTAAATAATAATAATCCCAGCACAATCAACAGCTGTCAAATTGGATTCAAATCCCATTGATGCGTTTATGTGCTTCTACTATGACTAAAGCTACCTACCTATTAAGAAATAATTAGGTTGAGAAACAAGTATCTCTAGGGACAGTATCTGTCTCTTTGCTTATCACTCATCAATGATGTTAGTTCAATTAATTAGTTAAGAAACATCACTCTTGCTTGGTAGAAGACAGTGTCCCACAAAGAGCAGAGCAGAGAGAGGCAGGCAGCATGTATGATAATGAGGCAAACAGTTTAACCCATCTTGGACTTATTTTCATGAATTGGAAAATGAAAGCTTTACTAGATATCTTTCATCATTACTAAATGATCTCTCTGATCCCTGTGTGCTCCATGCCCCGCCAGTTGCTCAAGCTCACAAGCTAGAGGTTAACCACCCTTGATCGTCTCGCAGAGGACTCCTGCAGCCACCTCCGGCCGACAGCCTTTACTGCATCTCCTCTCGACCTTCAACAATCTATTCTCCAGAAAGAACCAACATGATTTTTAAAAAATGTAAATGAGACTGCATCACTCCTCAACTTAAAATCATCCAGTAGATTCCCTTGTCGCTTGAACAAAATTTAAGCACTGTATCATGACCTGGAAGACACCCTAAAATCTGGTCCCTGTCTCTCTCCCCAACCTCATGCCCTGCCATTCCACCCCCTGTGTCTGACTGCAGACCATCTGGCCCAAGGCTTTGGGGCTTCTGCCTGGACACGCGTCGCCTTGATCTCCTCGCAGCTCTCATCAACTATGTCTCAGTCCAATGTGCTATTCTCAGAAAAGCCCTCATGACCCTGTAGTACTCTATTCCATTACTCTATTTTATTTTATGCATAGTGTTTATCACTGTCTAAAGTTATTCATCTACTTGTTAATTTGTTTTGATCTTTTCCCTTCCTGGAAATCCCTTCCTGCTCCTGTGAGCAGGAACCTTATCTCTTTTGTTCCCAGCACTTTGGATAAGGCTCGGTACACAAGATGCTCAATAAATATATGCTGAAGGGTTAAGGGAATGGTATTTTATGTGTCTTACAGTTCTAAAATTCAATAATTCAATATAGAATTTCTCCTCTAATATGCCATTTGTATATGTTTTATGTTTAAAAATATTAGCAATAGGCTATATTTAAATGGTCAGACAATAATTGCAGCCAAGTATTCTCAGGATAGTATTTTTTTCTTTTATTAGCCTAAATGCAATTCATGTAGCTCATATATTCTGTGCGGTTTATATATTCTGTTAATTTCTACCCTTTTCTAGCAACGGAAATCCACATCAATGGACTGTTAGTTTTGGAACAACGATCAACCCTCCCTTAATGAGAAGAAATATCAAAAGAATCATTGTCCATGAGCGGTACCGCTCCCCGGCAAGGGAGTACGACATTGCTGTCGTGCAGTTCTCTCCTAGAGTCACCTTTTCAGATGACATTCGCCGGATTTGTTTGCCTGAAGCCCACGCCTCCTTCCAACCAAATTTGACTGTCTACATCACAGGATTTGGAGCGCTTTACTACGGTGGTGGGTGTCTTAGAAGAGTAAGCAAAGCCCTATTTAGAGCAGAGCAATTTAATCTTCAACAATATTACTGTATCCTGCCGGCCATTTCCACACAACTTGGTTGAATTAATTGGGGTTCTTGTTCCTCAAGTGACAGAAATTAACCCAAATTAACCAAAGCAGAAACAAAAACAAAATACAAAAACCCAGCAAACTGGGCCCGTGTAATTTGAGAGTCAAGAGGTACGACAAGTCTGGCTTCAGACACAGCTAAATTCAGGAGTTCATGGCATGTCATCAGGTTCTGAAACTGTGAACCTTTTCATCTCTTAGCCTTGATTTTCCCTATGTTGGCTTCATTTGGAGAGATTCTAGCTCCACACAGTGGCAGAGGTGGCCACCAACAGCTCGAGGTTTACATCATTCTCACCTGGTAGAAGAAAGAGCATTTCTTTCTCTGTCAGAATCCACATTAGTTTCAGAAAAAGCCTCTAATCATCCCCACTTGTGTCCAGGGCTACTAAGATTAACTGGCAAACTCAAATATACTTTATATCTTTGCAGCAAACTTTGCTTCAGTACTAAGGGGACTAATTTGAGGGTCACTGTGACTAAGAATTGTGTAGAGATAAATCAAGCATTTTGCCCTCTGTAAAATGATTCAACTTGACATATTAACTAAATCTCCTGAGAAATAATAATAATTTAGTTATTGAATTTTTGAGGCATTCTCAGGGAGCCATATTCTGGAGTCTATAACGTGGTCCAGGTACATATGCATAACAACAGCTATGCATTATCAATTAAAAAAAAATCATGTGCAGTTGCTGGGAAGGGTCTCAAGCTTTAACTCTGGGTTTGAGAAGATGATAAAGGGCTTTTCTGAGAATGAAAAAATCTATTCACAGAATTTTGTACAGTTTATTTATATACAAGAAGCCATAAACAATAAGCCTTTGATTCTGCCTTCACTAAGGAACTAGGAATAACCTTTCACTCAGCCAGGAACAGGCTTTGGGGTCTCTAGGTTTTCTCCAGATGTCTCATGTGGTTTTGTTCCATCTTATACAAGCTGAGATCTGCATTGCTTTCTTGAAGGTCCTATTACCAATCACAGGAACTATTATTCAGAGTTTGTTCATCCCAATTGAGTAGAGCTGCAAACCTGACCCCTCTCTATGTATGCACTCTCTCCAAAGGGTTTTCTCTTACAATTGGGTTTGCAGTCTCTATTTTGTAATGCTGAGAGGGAAATCCTAAGTCTCCTTTGGCTTGGTAGGAAGAATCATTTTCTGCCAGGAATGTGAGGTTGGCACAGAAATATAATATAACTGTCATCACACCTTGTAAGTAGCAACAGAATCTGAAATTTATAGTACACTCCACCCAACAACACTATACACATTTATTACAAGTACTCATGGATCACTCACCAAGACAGATCATATCCAGGTCCATAAAACAAATCTTACCAAAGTTAAAAGAATTGAAATTATACAAAGCATATTCTCTGATCATAATGGAATCAAATCAGTAACAGATAACAGAAAAATCTCTGAATTCTTAGAAATTAAACAATATACCTGTAAATAAAGAGGAAATCCCAAAGAAAGTTTTAAAAATCATAGAACTGAATGAAGGTGGAAAAATATATAAATATACTCGAGGTACAGCTAAAATAGTGTAAAAAGGGAAATGTATATCAAATCATACATCAGAAAAGAAGAAAGATCTCAAATCAATAATCTAATTTCCTACCTCAAGAAACTAGAAAAAAAAGAGAAAAATAAACCTAAAACAAGCAGAAGAAAGGAAATAAAGATATTAGAAATGATTGAAATCGAAAATAAGGAAATAGAGAAAATTAATAAATAAAAATCTGATTCTTTGATAAAATTAATACTTTGTGAAAAATGTCATTCAGCATTCCCACAGTTGATAATATATAGTTCAGGGATGTCCAGCATTTATGGGATATGCTTTTCATAACTTGGAATACATTTTACCAACTAACTTGCTGAAAAAGCTATGAATGTACACTATCACCTACAATATATAGTCTCTCAATTTCACCTTACCCTTCCCAGCAACTGGACATGATTTTTTTTTAATTGATAATGTAGTAGGCAAAAAAAAAAAAAATCACACACCAATTATATTCAATGAACAGAAAACTTGAAAAATCTTTTAGCATATTTCTGTTTCATACTTATATTTTCTGAGTATTTTTTAAAATGTGTTTGCAAACACCTTTCCAGATATAAATCTTGACATGATCTTCTGAAGAAAGTCATGTTTATATTTACTGTGTACTTTTTTCAAATTTATTTACTTATAAATAAATATGAATTGTTTTTAAATTTTAAATTAACATATAAAATTGCATGTATGTCATGTGCAACATAAAGTTTTGAAGTATATATACATTGTGGAATCTTATATCCAGCTAATTGACAAATGCATTGTCTCACATAGTTATCAAGTTTGTGGTGAGAACACTTAACACCCACTCTCTTAGCATTTGTCTTGAATTAGTATATCAGCAATGTAGTTACCATCAGCTGGGGTGGTTGAGGGTGGGAGGAATTGGGGGGATGTCAGTTTACAAATACATATTTACTGTTAGTAGGAATAAGTTCAAGAAATCTATTGTACAGCATGGTGACATAGTTAATGATTATATATTGTATTCTTGTATTAGTTTTCTATTATTTGTAACAGATTACCACAAACTTAGTTTTAAAAAACATTCATTTATTAATAACCTCACCTTTAATTAGTAACCTTTAATTCATTTATTAAAACCTTACAGTTTTCATGAGTCATAAGTTCAGACACAGCTCAGCTGGATCCTTTTCTCTGGGTCTCACAAAACTACAGTCAAGGTAGCAGCTGGGTTGTGGTCTCATCTGTGGCTCAGGGTTCTGTCCCTGGCTGTGGACAGATTCCATTTCTTGCAGCTATAGAACTCATGACAGCAAGTTTCTTTAATGCCATTAGGAAAGTGTTTCTGAATTCAGGGAAGGCTAAAGCCCTTTTTGATCTAACCTTTTGATGAACTCAAAGTCAAAAACAATTCCTTCATTTTTGCCGTATAACGTAACCCTGTCATCAGAATGACATCCATCGTAGTCATGATTCTACCCATACTTGGGAGAAGAGGAATCAGAGAGGAATATTGTGAACCATCCTGGAATTCTTCCAAACACATTCTCGTGGTTTCCCACACAGTGTATGATTTGGTATAAAGAACCTCTGAATGCTTGTGCTATTCTTAGTTTTCTACCTAGTCTGCCTGCCATAATTAGTTTCTACAACTCAGGATCTAGTTTACCATCTGCAGCCACCAACTTGTAATACATCAGTGAAATCATTGTCATTTAATGCCATTAGGCATGTGGAAGCTTTTCATATTAATAAAATGCAAAGAATAAAATAAACATACAAATACTATAGTCACTTTATCAAGCCCAGGGAGAAAGCTAATTAGGCATACAAAGTTTCTGGGAACAATCTGGAATATACAACTATAAACTTCATAAAAAAATAAAATCCCTTCCTAAAATATATAATCTGATTGTTATTGAAGTAAAAGTACAAAGATTTTCCAGAAAAATAAACAGAATGATTTTCTTGCTTGTAGAGATATTTATAAAAATGTGATAGGACAATAATTATGATTAAATATGACAAATTTTAATGAGAAATTCTTCTCTCTAGAAACTGCTATTAGAAACTCATCTGCTTTCTTCACTCTAAACTATGCTGATTGTAAATACTTAAATTACTTTTTTTTTCTTTAAGGGGAATCCCAAAATGATCTTCGAGAAGCCAAAGTGAAAATCATAAGTAACGATGTGTGCAAGCAACCACAGGTGTATGGCAATGATATAAAATTTGGAATGTTTTGTGCCGGATATCTGGAAGGAATCTATGATGCCTGCAGGGTAGGTTGGAGAGATTATTTTGATATCAATAACTCAAATATTTTTATGTGTCCCAGGAAATATTCCATGTCTTTATATTCTTACCAAATATAGATATCATGTCAGCCTGAAAAAGTTCAAAATGCAAATTTTGCAACCCAAACATATTTTTCAATGTTTTTTAAGCAAAATGAAATAAGAGTTTCTCTAATCCTGTCAAACAAAATTAAAATCTCTTGATAATCAGATTAAAATCCAAAGATTAATGAAACAGAGTTTCTTCCTAATAGGGCTCACATTCTAGAAAGGAAATAATCATGAGCAATGAACTACGATGTGATATTACAAATGATATAATGGACAGCAGACATTTTTTCCTTGAAGACAACATTTTTGGGACAAGTCTCAGAGAGTTAATATTTAAATGAGACCTGAAGAATAAATAGCATGTACCCAATTATAGGATAAGAAAAGAAAATTATGGAAAAGAGAAGGAGAGAAGCCAAAATTATAAAATTATAATTCATATTTTAAGAGACCCCAAGTAATCTACTGGGTCTCAGCAGAAGGAGCACGAGAGGTAAGAGAAGTAGTTAAAGGCGAGAACATGGATCTGCCCATGTTGTAGACCCTGGTGTCTGCCCTGTGCCCTCCTCTGTCCTCAAACATCTATCCAGCATGTATATTTTCCAACCAAGGCACGAGTGTGTTACTTCCTGGGGACAGTTCCTTTTTATCATGAGATTCTTTTTTTTTTTTGAGACAAGAGTCTCGCTTTGTTGCCCAGGCTAGAGTGAGTGCCATGGTGTCAGCCTAGCTCACAGCAACCTCAAACTCCTGGGCTCAAGCAATCCTCCTGCCTCAGCCTCCCGAGTAGCTGGGACTACAGGCATGCACCACCGTGCCCAGCTAATTTTTTCTATATATATTAGTTGGCCAATTAATTTCTTTCTATTTATAGTAGAGACGAGGTCTCACTCTTGCTCAGGCTGGTTTCGAACTCCTGACCTCGAGCAATCCGCCTGCCTCGGCCTCCCAGAGTGCTAGGATTACAGGCGTGAGCCACCGCGCCCGGCCTATCATGAGATTCTTGAAAACTCCAGGGAGGTGACTCTGCATGGTGAAATGATGGGAATGGTGTTGATAACCGGTGGCAGAATGCCCTGCCCAGACTCCCACAAACCACACAACTGGCAACTTCTATCAGAGAAGGAGCAGGGAGTTTTGCAGCATGGAGGCCGGACAAGAGCAGGATCTGGTCCACAGTGAGCCTCGGTTGCTCAGTTGCTGAGAACGTGCAGAGAGGCAGCCAGAATTTAGGGACTCCAGCAAGAAGGCTATGCCATGGGGCACAGGTGGCAACAGGAGTATAGGAGCAGACAGGATGGGGGGAATCCATGTGAACAAGGAGATTGATATTCCCCAGGAAGGATTGGTGGTCAAAAAGAGGCTTCGCTGGATTGGAGAGCAGGGGGAAGATTTCTGCCTGGCTGTGCAAGTGAGTTAGAAGACAGAGCTCTAGTCATAGAAAAACATGGGAAGTTGTCAGGGAAATGACTCTATGGCATAAGGATCCAATACAGGAATGCTGTGATTGTAACTGGGGGACATGGTGAGGCATTTAGTCTGTCTGAAAAAAATAAAAATAAAAAAACAGAAGTCCAGGTAGCAGCATCAGCTTGACTTTCTCAAATTTACCAAATGTTGGTCTAGAGCTCAATAAATCCCCTGCCGTATATACATAATCGGTCCCAAAGTCTGCTTTTTCTTTTTCAACCGGAGATCTAGCCAGGCCAGACCCAAACACAAATGACAAAAGGATCAGATTGCTGGTATGAAACTCAGAAATGAAAGATGTTGATAACTTGGTCTATATTTATAATTCTGCTGTTGTTTCCAGCTCAGTCAAGAGTTTACAAAAAGAAATATTCCCAGTTGTAAACACCACAGAGGCAGCGTTATACTTCTTGGAGAGCTTTCCCAAGATGGCATTTGAAATCATTTCAGAAAACAGTGTTGGCACCACTGTTCTGGAGGACCCACAATTTAAATTCAGGTAGTTGAGACTATGTAGGATAGGAAAATTAGTCCAGAATTGTCCTTGGCCATCGTTTCCTTTATTCTAAATCTCTTCATTTACTCACTCAAAAAATGTGTAAATGCCCTACTACGGTGTTTCCCCGAAAATAAGACCTACCCATAAAATAAGCCCTAGCAGGATTTCTAAGCATTTGCACAATGGAAGCCCTACCCCAAAAATAAGACCTAGTGATGGGTGTGGCTACGCAGCGCATCTGCACAACCCATGCATTTCGTCGCCAAGTGGTAAAGAAGATGAGCAGCCCTTCTCATCTGCTCCATCGTGACAGCTACTGTCCCAGAGGTGACCGGAAAGGTGCGGGCAGCCCCACCAACAAGGTCGGCTCCCCCTGTCAGGTCCCGGCCATCCTGTGCGTGCTGCAAGCTGAGGCTTTGAGGGGAAAATAACACACCCCCTGAAAATAAGCCCTAGGGTGTCTTCTTGAGGAAAAATAAATATAAGACCCTGTCTGATTTTCAGGGAAACATGGTATGTCCATACACCGTGCAGGTACTGGAAATAGACTTATGATCACAAACCACCATGGAACCTGCTTTCAGGGAACATACTGCCTGGCAGATGAAATATGCATTAATCAAAAAATTATACCAGTGAAAGAAAGACAATTGAAAAAGAAAGCTTGGGAGGAAAAGGTCGTGGTCTATGAGTATATATAAGAAATGAACATGAGTAGCAGGGGTGGTTGGAGTTGAGCTCGTACCTAGGAGTAGGAATCAACTAGGAAGATTGCCAAAGATGATGCAGGCAGGGAGAATTCTTAAAGCTTTGGAGGAAGAAGCATCAGAGCTGCATAGAATTTCTTGACAGTACCTCTAGAAGATAGAAGACAGTGGAAAATGCACACAAATTTCAAAGGGAAAATGATTTCAACTTAGGTTCTTGCTCATGCAAACTAATAATCAAATGTGAGGGTAGAATTAAGAATTTCAGGTAAGCAATGACTCAAAAAAATGTTCCTTGTATGCCTTCTTGCTTTGGAAACCACCTGAGAGGGAACCTCAACAAAATGAGGAAGTAAATTACGAAAGTAGGAGACATGAGACCCACAACATTGTGAATCCAATACAATAGAATACTGACAGTCCCAGTATCCAGTCCACATTAGAGCAGAAGAAAGGGAGGGAGGAGGGTTGGGGGGAGGAGGGAGAGAGAGACAGAAAGACAGGGAGACAGTGTTTGAGAGAAATTGAGATAGAGAATGTGTCTGTGTGTGTGTGTGCTCATGCACACGTATGTGTTGAGATGGAAGGATATCCTCAGAGGGAGTAAAAGAACTGGCAAGTTATCTGATGCACTTGCACATTAATATTAATAAAAATCATTGTTAAATCCTGGTAGATCTTTTGGAGCATTCAGCATTTGCCACAGGTACATAGAAAACCAGCCAAGTGTCAAAGTGTGTTATTAAATTCTAAGAAATCAAAGTCTGGCCAAAAAAAAAAAAGTAACATAATCAAAATATATAACTTGACTCC